ATTACTGCTGCAAAGTATTCGAAACGTCGGGATGTAGTTTTTATACATTGTAAATAAGTTAATCAACATATTGCGCGTTTCAAGCCGTTAAACGTGTTTCATTTATTTGGAACTCTATTTCCAGTCTTCCCTATCCTATTTTTAATTTTTTTTCTGTCTTTCACACATACATGTCAGTTATACTTACAAGTAATTTTTTCAACACCAAAAACTGCCTAGAAATAAACTACCTATACAATACACTTGTCGGGTCGCTTTTATGGACGACATTCTTCAAGTTTTTGTTGCATTTGCACGAATAAAATAATTCAACATTGTAACAACTGTACAAGTCTAAATTACCTTAGTACTATCACTGACATTATAATGATAACGTTTATTTTTTTTAAAGAAGGTTAGTGTACATGTACAATTGTCGAGCTTATCCCTTTTTTAGGGTTACGTATGCCTAAGCGGACCATTTACTAAATAACACGCACGCTTAGATCACTCTGGACCACCACAATGTGGGTCTCAAAGACCTGGACGGATGCTCGAGTGAGGGGTTACGACGTTTCGACGTTCGACGAAGGTTTCGCGGACAATCGGCGTCGGCGCAGTCCCGTCGGATCGAGGCAAAGTAGGGAAACGTAGGCAATGGTCCGTCCGGATGCACGTACTAATCCTGGGAGATCAGTATTACAGGCATGCGACTCACGTGACGTCACACGTCTGTCTAAAGAAACTGTTAGCGAAAAAAAACACAAAAATACGGCCAGTTTCGCCAAATACCAACTTCGACGAAAGAGATGGCGCTAGCGTAGCAATTTTTACTTTGACGTCAGAGACATCCTCCATCTTTAGTCTCCCCGTGACCATGGCTGCTGCAAAGCATCCGAAACGTCGGGCCGAACTTAAAAATCATTTTCAAAAAAGTTTAACTAATATATCGCGTTTTAAACCGTTAAAGTGTTTTATTTAAATGTGTACTACTCGCGTAAACTATAGACAGTATTTAATATCATCGTTTTTCGGGCTGTTCGGTTTTTAACATTGACACCCTCCACCTTTCACCTCCCCATGACCACATCTGCTGCAAAGCATCTGAAATGTCGAACCGTAGCTAAAATAATTTTCAAACAAGTTTAACTCATATGTATATATCTCGTTTTAAACCGTTAAAGTGTCTTATTTAAACAAATTATCTAGTTAAATGTTTTGATCCATTATGATAACTAAATATTTTGCGGAACCCTCCGTCCTACGGTCAACCTCGCATTTGGCATGTTTTTGTACGCCTCTGCCAGCCGGTTGCTCTTGAACTACAAACCGGCCCGAGGTGACGTCATCGACGCGCGCGCAGCTTATGAACTTAGAGATAATCGTACATTCTGTTTGTATATATATCATGTTCATGGCCACTTACTAAAAGAACTTCTCAAATCGTTATATTGAGTAAGTGAGTTGCTTTACAATGGTAGATTAAAGAAAATTATCCTAACACTGTTTATTGTTTACGCGACTAGTACACATTTAAATAAAACACTAACGGTTTAAAACGCGATATATTAGTTAAACGTATTTGAAAATGCAAAGCTGCTGCAAAGCATCCGAAACGTCGAGCCGAAGTTAAAAATCATTTTCAAATAAGTTTAACTAATATATCGCGTTTTAAACCGTTAAAGTGTGTAATTTAAAGGACTATAGAATTCCATCTTTCTTCAAGTGAATTACATAGTTGTCTTTACATTTGTAATAAAATACTTAGTAATCGTGTTTATGAAATCCACGAATAACATACAAGTTCTTGAGAATCAGGTCAAATGAGACTGAATTTATTTTTTCAGTATCTAGGTCAAAGCTCGCCCGACGCTGTTTCGTATTTAGCGAATAAGGACTGTGATGTAGTTTATTTTTAATGCATACCGCTTGAGTGTTAATAAAATAACTTTTTCTTTGAGCATTATAATAATTTTCATATGGGGTTGTCCATGAATCACGTGACCTTTTTTTAGAATTTTTAAACATCCCCTCCCCCATTGGTGATACGTAGTGAGGTTTAAGACCACCCCCCTTCCCCCTTCACGTGTTAAACATCACGTGTATTTTTAGTACCTACAAAGAATCTTAAAATTTTCTGAATATTGTCCTAATATAATATAAATAGGTATAAACTATAATCTTATTTTATTCTGAAATTAAGGACCATAATAAAAATGTCTACACCATTCGTTTAAAAATCGCGCGTTTGACGAAAAAATAAATCCACGAGATATCTTACCATACCCCCCTCCCCCTTGTGTTATTTTCTTGATTTTTATCCCCCCCCCCTTCAAGCCACACGTGGTTAATGGACAACCCCTATGCTGATTATACACGCACACGGGCGGGACTTGAACCGGCATGCATGCACAGCGTTCCGTGCTTACCCAATTGAGCTACCGTGTCTTCTTGGAAGATCTTGACATTTAATAGTTTTCAGGAATATATTTTGTTTTGTCCTGGTAACGTGTAAATTAATTGTAAAGTTTCTATTTCAGTGTGAAAGTCGAAAAGAAAGGTCGATAGCGCATCATTTTTTATCTAGGACTGAGGATTCAAAACTTTTTTTTATATTATTGCCCTATATAAATTAAAAATTATTTGTTAAACTGTAGTTTTTTTTATATATCTTTATTAATAAATGTGTTCGTAATTTGTGTTTACAGTAGAAATGCTTGACGTTTCTACTGTATACACAAACAGCGCTTGCGAGTAGGTAGTACCTACACATTTAAATAAAACACTTTAACGGTTTCAAACGCGATATATTTTGGTTAAACTTCTTTAAAAATAAATTTTAAACATGTTACTTAAATATATGGCGTTGTAATCTGTTAGTGTTTTATTTAAATGTATCGCTTGCGTTAGCTCAGCCTCTGATGGGGCCACAGAATGTCAGTGTTGGGACATTAGTCCCAACGTAGCTGAGTGGACTCCCTTTTCAGAGGCAGCTGTATAATTCTTCTATTATTTCTAAAATGATTTTATTATTGTAAATTTGGGTTGTTTTTTTAACGTATTTCCTTTCTATTCTAAAAATCAATTATGAAGGACACGGTGGCTCGATTGGTATTGGGATACCGCTTCAAGTCGATTTATAATTTATAAAGGACTTTAAAAGAACCCTCCTTTTACTCAGTCTGTTTTCCTTTGTCTACGTTTACTAACAACTTGCACAATGCATCGCCACCATAATACTTCGCGTGCCAAAATTCATAAGTTCCGGTCGTTGACCTTTCGGCTGCCGCGCCGGCACATTTGATGTCATTGCAGATGTTGTAAAACTAAGTGTCATTTTAATAAAACACTTTAACGGTTTAAAACACGAAATATTAGTTCGACTTATTTGAAAATGAATCATTTTCAAAAGCGTATATATCGCGTTTAAAACCGGTAAGTGTTGTATTAAAATGTGTACTACTCGCGTAAACTATAGACAGTATTTAACTAAGTGTTACTTAAACTACAGACAGATAAAACAGTAGCTGTGACAACGACTTTGCGTAGAATAGTTATTTTGATCGTTAAAAATCGTTTTTGCGAACATCTTTATAAATTAAAGTTGTTACTCCCGACTTTGTCTATGTCGATCTAACAAGTTGATCTTAAAATATAGACAACAGTATGTTAGGGTCAGTTTTTTAGATCATATAGAAGGTTATCTATTATACATATTTGGTTTTATATCAATATTATATTAGGATTTCGTAGCGTACTTACAGGACACCCACAAGGATCCAATGATTATGCCGTTTTTTTTTTCACATTTCCCATTGTTTCTTTCCTTTGTCGATAAATGCTCTAAGCAACACAAAAACATTTTTTTTATTCGAACCCGTAGTTCCTGAGATTAGCGCGTTCAAACGAACAAACAAACTCTCCATCTCTATATATTCTTCAGCTTTGGGCATCGCGTCAATAAACTAAACATATTGTCTATACCAGAGCAAGTAGCATGCATTGAAAAATATTCTCCACTTAAACTAATTAAACACAAGGTAACGAGAGTGTGTTGTGAGGTTTTTAGCCTTAGGTAAATCTCTTTTAATATTTTTTAATACTCAATAACGTTTACTTAGATAGAGAGTACTCTGAAGAACCCTTGTACTGCTGGGAAGATAATCTGAAAGGATCTACGAAGGGATCTGAAACTGAAAACAATATGTCCAACAGACGAACACCTAGGGTTTTGCTGAAAATCAGTGTTTTTTTTTTTGCTCTTATGATTAAGTAGCTTAAAAATAAATTCATGGTTTATGAACTATATTATTAGGGATAAGATTATTGTTATAATATCGGATAGTATATTATCTTTTCTTCAAATTAAATTTAATCTTATCATATTTAGCTATCAGCTAGTTAAGCTGTAGAATATATATTTTGGGCATTTAAATCTTGTTTTTGCAAACCCATACAATTTTAAGCTGTTACCCACGACGTGGGTCGCGTCCTGTCCTTCTTGCAAGTTAATCTAATGGCGGCTACGGGGTGAACGGGGGACACGTTAGCCAACAGTATTGGCTAATACATTCGTCATAACGTTGGCTAAAACATGTAGAGCCGCCATTAGGAGATTATACTATCGTGGACATTGTTGGACATTTTGTTAAGAGGAATGATTCTTACATAGTTTTTGGGTATGTTGAACTGTTTTCGTAGCGTACGCCTCGGAAACCAATAATGATAAATCATTTTCCCAAAATATTTCATATTCGTCGCTCCTATAGTCACTGGCATGTATAGCCTATAGCCTTCCTCTATAAATGATCTAACTAACACAAAACTATAACATTTTTAAATTCGAACCGGTCATTCCTGAGATAAGCGCGTTCAAACAAACAAAAAAACTCTTCAGCTTCATATATTAGTATAGATTTTATTGTAATTATATTTCTTTCTACTATTGCGCTAAATGAATGCCAAATATAGAGATTTATTATTATTTTTTATTATCATAAAATTGTTTATTCTTGTTACAGATTCCAACACAACAAAATCTACACGTACATCGGGGAAGTCTTGGTCTCTGTGAATCCATACAAGACTCTGGACATCTATGGGGCGCAGCATATGGCCCAGTACAGGGGGCGGGAGATGTTCGAAGTTCCCCCCCATGTCTATTCCGTCGCTGATGCCTGCCAGAGGGTGCTGCGGCAACAGGTAAACTGTAGAAGCACTTATAATTGACTAAAGGGCCTACAACCTAAACAGTTACACGTGAGAGTTGTTAACGAAGTAGAAAGTTTTTTTATATTGACGGGCGGGAATCAAACCTACGATTACAGCGCTAGCTAACTAGAGCTTCATATATAGACGTTTGACACATGGTAATTCGAACTTAAAACTTATAATCAATTTTCTGGAATTGAGTATAAGTTTACACTATTTATTGTTTAAAATTCAAAATTAACCAATATTAAATTGCGACCCAACGTCTGAGTAACGTTAGGTCGCCGTTTGCCGCGACTGCTAAAAACATTCAAAACGTCCGCGTCGGGTCCTTCACGAAAATGATTTAACAAGCGTTCCATGAAGTTTACATGAGTAGTACATATTGAAATAAAACACTTTTAACGGTTTAAAACGCGGGTGGACTTATTAACGATTTATTTTTACTACGGCCCGACGCGTCACAGCAGCCGTAACCACGGGGCACTGCCAAATCATCCGTAATGTCCATCCGTAGTTAAAATTTTAAATAAGTTAACTAATACATATATTTTCGCGTTTAAAACGTTAAATGTTTTAAATGATTTCTCAATGAATAGTTTTAAACCGTTAAATCGTATTTGACGTAATTCTCACTAAAAGATACGCTCTGAACCTCCAAGAAGTTATTATAGCTTACAAAACATTTGGTTTTTAGTTTGCCTTACAACTTCGTGGTCTGTATAATTTAGTAACATAAAACCAGAAGTAATAATGCCAAAGTGAGCTATCGTCATTCCCAAGAACAATGGGTTGGCAACTTAGCACTGTCCCGCGAGTGTTTTTAGTGCCCATTGTGCCTTTGGCTCGTGGCCACCGCCCGCTGTTAACTCGTCAGTTGTAACCATGTTTCGTGGTTCAAACATATTGGTGTCTGATCATTTTACGAGGACTGCACTACATAGTATTAAAGTCGTTTTTACTGTGTCAATGTACGTTTAAATCTTTAAAATTACGCAACGGATTTTGATGCAGTTTTTAATAGATAGAGCGAGGTTTTTATATACGTTCAGTTCACATTTTTCTGTAGTGTTTAGTATCAGCATTGCACCAGAGCGAAGCCGGGGCGGGTCGCTAGTTTAAATACTGATTTTTTTATGTATTGGATAGTTGTTAGTTCAAAGCTTTTGAAGTGTTACAAATTTTCGAATGGTTTGAAAATGAATTGATGGTATCGTGGGTTCATTGGTGGCATGGTATGGTGGGTCATTGAGGTATAGTTGTTACTATGAGTCTTAAGTGAAGCGCCAAGTTTGAAATTTAAGAATAGACAGATAAAGTGATTTATGTTTACGCGAGTAGTACATTGAAATACACTTGTAACGGTTTAAAACGCGACATTTATTACTTAATAGTGATTCAAGAGAAATGTTTTTATATACAACATTCACAGTTTTTCTGTAATTAGTGCATTTGGTATCAGCATTGCACCCGAGAGTAGCCGGGCGGGTCGCTAATACACTTCTATAGCTGAAGTGAGTCTTTAAACGCCCTAATCTACCGGTTTTGAGGAAAATTATGTTTGTGTTGAACCAATCATCGAGGAAGGCTTTAGGCTATAAAACCTCCCGTGTTAAACGTGTGTTGCTGGGCGGTGGTTATGCCATGGTAACTAATAGCATTTACTAAGTATTATAAGTAGGAACAAAGTAAAATGACATTTTTTGATACGCGGCTCTGATGGTGTTGGCTTACCAACGCGAAAAAAAAGAGGGTAGTATGAAATTTGACACACGCCACGTGGGCGCGCCTCACACGTTCCTTCTTTGATGTATACGTAATGACATATTATATAACTTTTATAAGTAAGTAAATACTAGCTGTGTCAGCGACTTCGTCCGCGAGAATCGTTATTTTGGGCATATCCAAATTCGATTTTGCAACCCTCTTCATCTTTATAAAAGTAGTGAAATCCCGTTTCCCCCTCGTGGGGCATGGGGCGAACACGTTTTTGTGTCCGTTTCACTGATCCGTTCTTTAACAGGCAAGTAGTTGATAGGACTTCTGTGCCCTGCCTGACCGAAACAATTTTCTATTTCCCTGGGATTCGAACCCAGGACCTCTCGCGCTTAACGCAATGCTTATACGTTCAACCATTTGGCTACAGAGGCGGTCATCTTTATAAACTTAATCTATCCACGACGTCGGTCGCGTCCTTCCCCGTCGTTCTTGCAAGTTAATCTTAAAAGATAGATATATAGCGTCTCTGACTTTTTTAAGACCAAAGAAGACGTTTGCAACGTAATTAACAGAAATCCACAAGGATGGATAATTTTCCTATTTTTTTTTCACATTTCACGCTGTATTTTCGCTTGTATTAGTCACATGGCTATGTTTTATAGCCTCTAGCCTTCCTCGATAAATGCTCTAACCAACACAAAAATATTTTTTCAATTCGAACCCGTAGTTCCCGAGATTAGCGCGTTCAAACATACAAAACTCTTCAGCTTTATATATTAGTATAGAAGTATAGGCGTACGCATTGGTTGCGATATGTTACCTCAAGTGACTGTAACTTAACCTACCTAAATGTGAAATATTCGAAGCTACATGCAGATGACTGTTTATAGGGCAGGGACACATGCGTGCTGATTTCCGGCGAATCCGGGTCAGGCAAAACGGAGGCTTCCAAGTTCATCATGAAGTACATAGCGGCGAACACCACGCAGGTGCACAGGGATTATATAGATAGGTAAGTTGCGTTAACTGAGGCTCAGTGGTAAGACGTTACAATTGTTGAAATAAATTTAGTATTGTTTAGTTCTTTTCCGTACAGATACACTCACATACATATACACCCACACAAATACACACACATCATTTTTTTATTTATTACAGCTTTATAGTACTTACTACAAAACTTACGTACGAACTTACAAATTAAAGGCGGCCTTATCGCTAAGCAGTGATCTCTTCCAGGCAACTTGAAATACAAATTTTTTTCAGAAATTTGAATCACTTGCAAAACAATTAGTAAAGCAGATTTTGACTTATTAAAAAAATGAGTCTTCTTATATATTGTAAATTAAAACTTAGTTTTTTTATTATTTGCATCATTATTTTTAACTAAATTAAAAAAAATATAGTTGAATGAAACAACGGTTTAAAACGCGGACTTAATTATTTTTGTAACTTCTACCTCTTATCTTTGGGGGGGATGGCAGCATTACCTTCTCAAAATTATGAACAGGTTTTCTGTTAAAAATATGTCCGTATTACCTATCCGTAATTTACTCCGTGCAGAGAGCACGTTAAAATAAAACATTTTAACGGTTTTAAACGCGAAATATACGCCAGGTGGCCACGCCTGCAAACCGTCCGAACCGTCGGCGTCGGGCCGCACTTGAAATAAGTTTCACTTGAATATTTCGCGTTTTATACTGTCTACGTGTTTTATTTAAGCGATAATAAATGATTTAAAACGCGTCATCCATTTTCTTTCAGGGTGAAAAACGTTCTTATACAATCGAATTCAATTCTCGAGACGTTCGGTAACGCGAAGACGAACAGAAATGACAATTCGTCCCGTTTCGGCAAATATATGGATATAAACTTCGACTACAAGGGTGACCCGGTCGGTGGGCACATCAGCAACTACCTCCTGGAGAAGAGTCGAGTGGTCAGCTTGCAACCGGGAGAAAGGAACTTCCACGCATTTTACCAGGTTTGTGACTTTCGAAAATTGAATATCCTTTATGATTGAGGACGACACTTGGGTTGCAGGACTTGGGGTGGTGGGTTTGGTTGGGGTTCAGCAGGTGAATCACCTCCGCCTTATATTTTGACAGGCTCGTTGGTTCGATCCCCACCGGGTCTAACATATTTCTAATTTGAAAACATTAATATTTTTCACATGTTATTGCACATGAAGGCACTATATAATTTAAAAATCGATACCGAGGACTCGGTAGCTCAATTGGTAGAGCAACAGCACGGAAAGCTGACGATGCCGGTTCAAGTCCTGCCCGAGTCGAAAATTTTTTTAATTTATTTTCGATTTTTAAATTGTATTTCTAATTTTTCAATTTATAATTTTTCTGGAACATGCTGGACTTCTTCTGGAAACCTAGATATTAAATGGGTGGTAGGAATATGGAAATACCGTCCGGGTTACGAACCACTGTCCACAGATGAAAAAGCCGTGAAGCATAATCGCGTTTCGGCTTCAGTCTGTGGATTACGAATATCCGCAGCCAAAGGGGCACACGATTTGTTTAGATGCTTAGGCCTATAGCTGGGCATATCACCTACCAACAATGGGATGCACCCCATGCCACATCTGTGCTCCTCTATCAGAAAAAAATATTTAACATCTGAGCAAGATTTGTGGTCGACCTATCCAGGCTTCGGATATTCACCAAACAACACCCACGAGTCCTTCAAAGTGTAGAAGTACACTTAGCGTAATATATTAGTTGGTTAACTACGCGGGCTATTTTTAGTCCCCATCGTGACCACGGCTGCTGCAGACAATCTGCAACAAAGCCCGTAGTTATAATAAGTTCACTAAAATATTTCAAGTTTTAAACCGTAAAAAGTGTTTTATTTAACTTTAGACACGTAGAAAGTTTACTTCGAATTGCAATTATAACCTACTGATAAGAAATAAAAGTCTAAAACGTCATAAAATCTCTCGTTAAGGTTCTAAGCGAGTCGGGTCACCTTAATCTATATAAACCTTAATCCACTTCTCGATATTGGGATATTGACATCAATTGGAGCAATAACACAGCACTGCTAGGGCTGTAGGTCGGAGATACAAGGATTTATATAATCTACTTTGCAATGACGCTGCGTTTCAAACGGTTTTCATTCATATAGGGTGTACTTATGAAGTACACTTACCCGCGACTTTGCTCGGTGTAAAACGATTAAAACAAAGAAGAGATGCGTGATGATTGATTTGGGTATATTAAAAAAAAAAATTTAAATAAAACACTTTAACGGTTTAAAACGCGATATATTAGTTAAACTGATTTGAAAATTATTTTTAACTTCGGCTCTACGTTTCGGATGCTTTGCAGCAGCCGTCACATTTAAATGAAACACTAAACGGTTTAAACCGTGAAATTTATTTTTTAACATATTCACAATTTAGTAGTCACGCTCTTGCAAAGTATGCCGGGCCGTAGTTAAAATAAATTGAAAAATAAGTTAATTCTAAGTTTTCGCGTTTTAAACCAGCAAAAGGGTTCTATTTAAACAATTCAAATGAAATAAATAATGATTTAATCATGTTTGCTGGAAATCAACAAATAGCAACTTGTAGTTACCAAAAGTCGCTAACTTTACAATATTGTGACATTTCTCAACTTCGGTGTACAGAGCCCTTTACTCGAGAGCGCGAGTAGATCGTACTTGATATCTAAGTATACTAACGTATAAAGCTGAAGAGTTTGTTTGTTTGTTTGAACGCGCTAATCTCAAGAACTACTGGTTCGAATTGTAAAATTATTTTCGTGCTAGCTAGAAAATCTTTCGAAGAATGCTATAGGCTATAAAACATCGCGCTGTGACTAATAGTAGCGAAGCTACAGCGGGAAATGTGAACGAAACGGGGGAAAATTTTCATCTATGTGGTTTTCCGACGCGTGCGCTGCGAAAACGGTTCAAGATACCCAAAAAATATGTATGAAGGTATGATTCCGTTTTAAATGATCTAAAAGAATGTCCGTGACAGATGACCCAGTGAGGATAGAACCCACGGCCCGTTGACACATCGCTACCGTTGCACCAACGAGCCGTCTTGTTTTAATATGGTTAGTTAAACACATTCATTGTGTAATCTAAACAGCGGCGAATGACATCAGTGTATTGTTGAAATTATGTCAAAGCCAAACCTATTGCTTGCTATGTGTAAACAATATCGCCTTGCACTAATATACATCGCGTATACTCGTATAACTGACCACCACAATGTAGCGTTCCGGGGTTTGAATCTCGACGCATAATAGGCAGACATACAAATATGTCCATGTGATATATACGAGACTTTATATATATCTATTCGTATTTTAGTTGCTGTTGGATGTATAAATTAAACAGCCAAAGAAAAGTGTCCGCCCCCTGCCCCGCCTACGCATATATATTTTATATAATAACCATATAATAAGTTGCCTAGTGAACAAACGAAAGGAAGAGTCCGCTTTTATAATTTTTATATAATACTCTATTTCGTATTTAAGTTGCCTTTAGATGTTTAAATCAAACGGACATATAAATTTGTCCGTCTCGTGATTTCACATATTTTTTTTTTGGGGTTTTTTTTTTTTTTTTAATTTTTTTTTTTTTTTAATTGCCTTTAGATGTTTAAAATCAAACGGACATAGAAATGTGTCCGTCTCCCGACTTGCGTAATATTTACGAGAGTTGCCTTCTTTCATATAATATTATATTTAGTATTTAAGTCGCCTTTAGATGTTTAAAATCAAGCGGACATAGAAATGTGTCCGTCTCGTGACCTGCGTCATATATGCGAGAGTTGCCCTATTTTATATATATCAGTCGTGTACGAGTGTACATTTTTTGTTATGCATATAAAAAATATATTAATTACAGTTTATCATTAAATACTACGAAGTAATAAACAATGCTAATAACACTAATCGACGCGGCTAAGGAATGGTCACGATATTGGTTACGTGGGTACAAGCCACATGCCTAATGCCCCATACCCCAGCCATATAACGTCTTAACATGACAAAATTTCGAACTCTTTGATTTTGGACACTAAAAGCATGGACATAGGGGACATATTGTTTAGATGTTATATCTATGTTGTAAGCCCCATGTTAGATTGTATATTTCTAGGGTATGCCCCTGTTTAGATGTTAGATGGCCGGGGCTTATCTCAGTTTGGATGTATCGTAACATTTATTTTGTTGTATAAGTATGTTTTTTTAATAAAAACATTATTTCCATTTCAGTTGCTAAGTACAAACAACACACACACAAAGAAGTTTGGGCTAAACTCCAGTGCGGTCTATAAGATACTGGGTAGCGAGAGAACGACTGCGCAGGATTCGAAACTTTATTCCCTAACAAACAGCGCTTTTAACGCTTTGGGATTCGCGCCATCTGTTGTCGACGATATTTGGAGTATTGTTGCTGGAGTAATATTGCTGGTAAGATTTCACGGTTTTTTTTATGATAGTGGAGGAGAGATATTCGGGGGTTCACTACTAGGTAAGTTTCTCAGCTATATAACATATAAACAAGTTGTGCTGACGACCGTTTTTGGACATGTAGAAATCCATAACTAAACGGGGACTTATACTTTAGGATATTGTAGTCTGTGGTCTGTGGTAATCCAGACAAAATTATGATATTTCCTGAAGTCTAACATGTTGTAGAAGAAAATGTAAGTTTAATTTTGATACATGTTGAACTTAGAGGGAATCGATTCCCAACCCATCAAAACAGATTAACTTCAGCAGCAGCTTTGCAGCTGCAAAAAAGTTGCGAATAAAAAAGTCATAATAAATTTAATTAGCTGGTTTAATTAATTGCTCTATATATTTTCAGGGTGAACTAACATTCTCAGAAGGTCCCGATGGGCAAGTCTCCATAGGTGGACCGCTGAGGCAATGTGTAACAGCACTGGGTGTGACGGAGGATAACCTTCGCAGAGCCATGTCCGGTCGGGTGCTTGCTGCTGGCGGCGAGCTGGTCAGCAAAGAGCATTCACTAATCGATGCCAATTACACTAGATTAGCGTTGGCTAAAGCAGCATATGATCGCCTGTTCACCTGGATTGTGCAGCAGGTAAACTGGAATTATTTTATTGGGAGCGGGCGGAATCGCTTCATTACGTAACGCGTTACGATGTAATAAGTGTTGTGTCCGAAACTCAAACTAAGATAGGATGGACTTTTGACTTATTTAAGACCACTGAAGCTATACAAAGAGACTATCAACTAGTATATGGTTTGCAGGGGGGGGGGGATAAAGTTTCTAAATTTTTATGACATGCCTGTGTTAGCTTTCGCCATAGAGCTTGTATATACAAAGACATTTTGTGCAAAGATCGAACTTCCAGCCGCTAGTATAATAACATTGCTTTAATTTATTTCAGATAAACAAAAAGATCGAAGTACCCCAAGGCGCTTGGGGCGGATCGCTGATCGGCGTCCTGGACATATACGGCTTTGAAATATTCGAGACGAACAGCTTCGAACAGTTTTGCATTAACTACTGTAATGAAAAGTTGCAGCAACTTTTTATTGGTAATTAATATTAACAATATTACAACACTAATAGTCTAATATGATGCACGTAGCAGCGCTGCCATAACACTTGTGACTAGATTATTGTCGATATAGTGGGATTGACGCTTGACAAACTGTCATTGAGGCATGATAGACGGTTATTGACATACTTGTCTGTCGTCCTCTGTCATAAAAGATATATTAGTTATATATCTTTTAACTTACTACCTACTTTTTACTAACTACCTACTAATACAATTTTTTAGTGAAGGTAAAATTGGATGTGTCAAATATAGTACTTTATAATCTCTTTTGTCTAATACATCTAAAACATATTGCAATTAAACAATTTAACGGTTTAAAACGCGATATATATTACTTAAACTTATTTCTAAATTTTTATTCAGGCCCGACGTTTCTTAGCAGCAGCCGTGGTTACGGGGGCCTCGCCATTCTAATTCTCAAATAAATTTAACTAATATATATCGCGTTAAGCGTTAAAGTGTTTTATTTAAATGTGTCCTACTCGCGTAAACATTACATAACATTACGTTACATTTATAGAACTGGTGCTGAAACAAGAGCAGGAAGAGTATGCTAGAGAAGGAATCCAGTGGACTCCTGTGAAGTACTTCAACAATCGTATAATTTGCGAGCTGGTAGAAGCACCACATCAGGGCATCATCGCCATAATGGATGAGGCCTGTCTGAATCCTACTAAGGTAATATAACTATGCGTTCATTTAAACAAGCTGTTTGATTGAAGCAGCCGGTTTTAATTATGTCTTTAAGGTGAAAAGTACAATTAGATTAGTATCAAACTTCTATTACAAAAAGCCGCCTGTCTATAAACGATTCACGATTGAAGACCAACGCAATGACGCCCACATTGTTCAAAAGTGTATATTTTATAATTCCCTCTCCGGCTCGAAGGACCAACACATTTTATTGAAATGGAACATTTTTTTCGATTTAAAACGCGAAATATATTAGTAAACTTATTATAAACTCATTCGGGTGCTTTGCAATACTTATATTTTTCATGTTTTATACTGTTGAAAGTGTTTTATTTTAAGGTAATACTTGCGTTAACTGCAGATGATAATTTACAAATTGTAATTATTTATGATTGTTTTTTCTAGATATCAGACCAGCAGCTACTTGAGGCGATGGACAAACGGCTGAACGGCCACAAACACTACACATCGCGGCAACTTGCGCCCACAGATAAGAAACTCAAACATGGCGTCGATTTCAGAATTACGTATGTACACATTTTAATAATATTTCTACATGGTTATAAAGCTAAGTAAATCTAGGGAAGAAGCCATTTTATTATTATGTAATCACTATCTGTCTGTTGGTTTTTTATTTTTAACAAATACACTATTATTTGCTTATTTTTACTTTATATCAATAAATATAAGAGATATCTACTTGAACACTAAACAGGCCGTATCTAAATTGTTTACTTACTTACTATTCGTATATTTCGTGCGCAATTCAGCTCGCACTTTTACTTCGCACCGTTTCTTCACGTTTATGACTAAATTTATACAGATGGACTATTTTAATATTATTTCGTCACATTTCAGACACTACGCAGGTGACGTGACGTACGCAATAACTGGTTTCATGGACAAGAACAAGGACTCCCTCTGGCAGGATCTGAAAAGACTCCTTCACTTCTCCACCGTTGCGTCGCTGAAGGACATGTGGCCTGAAGGCGGGACTAATATACAAAAGGTAACCCCACATACGAGAACCGAAAAATTAGCTAATAATTTACACGAGTATCTCTACTAATATATTATAAAGCCCTGTTTGTTTGAACACACTAATCTCAGGAACTACTGGTTTAAATTAAAAAAATATTTTTGTGTTGATTAGAATATTTATTGAGGAAGGATATGGGAGCGAAAAAGCGGGGGAAATCATCCTTGTTCACTACAAAAATGGTTCAAGATACCCAAAACGTATGTATGAAATGCAAGAACGACGGGACGCGGACGACGTCGTGGGTAACAGCTATAAGATGTGCAGGAGGTTTTAAAAAACAAATTTTGATGCCCAAAATAATTATTATACGCGAACGAAGACACAGCTAGTATTAAATAAAACACTTTGAACTGTTTATAACGCTAAATATATTATTTATCTGTTTGAAGTATGATCCAACGCGTAAGGTAACTTGCCTGGTCGCGTCGGGTCGAATATAGATTTTCTATTATCTCGAAACTATGACAAACAAGTCGCCGTTACTGTACAAATTACTGTAAACATTTTTTTAAAGTCATTTGTGCTATCACATTTTAGCTTGAATCTTTTAAACGGTTTTATTTAGCTCGACCCGTACGGAATTTATTTGTTTGGGTCAAAATTGAAATTGTTCTGACCTTCCAGTTGTCACATTGATCTGAAATTTGGTACACATTTAACTTTGATGACAATACAATGTAATAAAATCAAAAATATTATAAATCCAAGATGGCCGCCGATACAAAATGGCGGATTACGTACTCTTCCTTAACCCCCTCAATGTGGGTATCAAACGAAAGAGCTACACTAGTAAAACACGATGATTATGTCAATTTTTTACAGTTTTCAGTGTACAAATAATAAAACCGTTTAACTTTAAAGTTTTTCAGTCAATGAAATCAATATATCTATTTTCGTTTAACAATTTTACTTTATAGGATTTAATAAATTTACTTTAAATAAAAAAAATCCTTAAATCTTTATGATTATATATTGTAATACCCACAAGAACGTACACTTTGGGTAGCAGGTTCTATTCTCGATCATATCATGACATAGACTCCGAATCATAGGTTCGATTATAGTCAACATGTCAAAAATCTCTAAACACATAATGTTATTAATTTACAGACGTCCAAACGACCACCATCAGCGGCGACGCTGTTCCGAAACTCCATGACGGCTCTGGTGCAAGGGTTGCAGAGTAAAGAACCGTTCTACGTACGCTGCATCAAGCCGAACGCTCTACAGGCGCCGAACACCTGGGACGAACAGCTGGTAAAATACCATCCATATAAATGAGGCGTCCAGAGGTAGAGTGGTCTAATAATAAAAAAACATTTAAATAAGGAGGAAATAAAAATGCGCAATTAACTTGTGCATTAACAATGAATTATGCTAACATGTTAACAATTTTCGCTCGGTGTGCTCTTGTAGATAAACGTTTTTAGACTATGAAAATATGAATAACTCAAATTATAAAGTTAGGCTACTCTGACTCTAGCGGTGTCGAATTAAAAGTCGATTACTAATTGACAAAATTACGACACGAGCAGGACTTGAACCGCCATCCTACACGTCATCGTCGAATTTTAAGCTATTGATACATGCACCTCTCGCGCGATGTAATTTCAACTTTGACATTGATGGTAATAAGATGAGTTATGTTTGTCAGCATCTGTGGGTCAAGGGTTAATTGTATTGTATAAAACTGAAGGGTCCTGGATACCAATACCGGAACGACAAACTATATTATATATATATATATTATAAGTTTGTTTGTATGTTTTAACGCGCTAATCTTAGTAGCTACTGTTCGATTTGAAAAATTATTTTTATGTTGCTTAGAGCATTTATCGGAATGAAATATTTATTAGCTTTAAAACACAGCTATAAGATACAACGAGAAATTTGAAAAAAATGGGAAAATAATTCATCATTATGGTTTATAGGCGTACACTGCAAAGACGGTTCAAGATACCCGAAAAATATGTATGAGAGATTGATTTCTCTTAAAATGATCTAGACAAACTCTGACGCTATATGTCTATTTTTTAAGATTAACTTGCAAGAACGACGGGTAGCTTAAATTTATAAAGATGTTGAGATTTGCAAAAACAAGATCAAATGGTAATATGTGTCGTTTTCTCGTTTCAGGTCCGCCACCAGGTGGCGTATCTCGGTCTAGTGGAGAATGTGCGCGTGCGCCGCGCAGGTTTCGCGTCACGGCAACGATACGATCGATTCCTGAAACGATACAAGATGCTCTCGCAGTACACTTGGCCGAACTTCCGCGGCGCATCAGATAAGGACGCCGTGATGGTTCTGCTTAGGGACTTGCAAGTCACCGATGTGCAGTTTGGTCATACGAAACTCTTTATTAGGTATGTTCGATGGTATATTAATAGTCGGATTTCTATGGCCTTCCCGGCAGAAACCATTTCTTACCCCTTGATTTGAACCCAGAACCACGTGCACAACGATACGCTCGACTCTCACGTCGACCCTATGTTATCCTTACGTTTTAGTTGCATAAATTACTCTAGTTTTTAACATACTGTCTATAGTTTACGCGAGTAGTACACATATTTAAATAAACATTTTTAACGGTTTAAAACGCGATATATATTCGTTGAATTTTGTCTCCCGGAGGATGCGAAGGCTGCTCTTGCGTCATCAGATTAATTAAAGTTAACTAATTTCGTTTTAAACCGTAAAGTGTTTTATTTAAACGAGTACTACTTTTATTTTTATAGGAGTGCCAAAACAATTCACGGTCTAGAAGCCGCACGCGCAGAGTTGATACCGTCCATCGTCGTTCTACTGCAGAAGCTGTGGAGGGGCACTGTGGCGCGCATGCGCTACAAGAAAATGAAGGCTGCCCTCACTATATACAACTCGTGGAAGTTAGTATATAGCATACTAGTTGTGTTAGCGACTTCGCCCGCGTAGAATAGTTATTTTGGACAATTTGTTTTTGCCAACCACATTTTGATCTTTATAAATATAAGCTGGTACCCACGACGTTCGTCTAACTAACTTTGGTTTTGAAGATTCATTTAAAAGACCGATTAACATTTAGAAAGATTAACTTTCTTAAGATCCATTTAGGAGTTAAACCAAGACTCTGATTTAGTTCCAGTTTCCCAAATATTTTATTGTAATAAGGGCGATAGTGTCGCGGACATTTAAAGAAGAATAATTCTTTCATAGATTTTTTGCTACGCTTCCATTTCCAGTCTGTCCCTCATTACATAACGAGGATCTATTGTTTTCTCAGGATTCGAAACCAGGAATTCTTGCGCTCAACACTATGCTAGGCAATGTTTAACCTTACTCGTATAATAGTTACCTTACTATTGTACCTTTGGTATTAAATAAATAAATAAAATAAAAAATCCTTTATTTCCATTAAATGACTGGGGGGGGCCCCCCCCCGCGGGTGGTTCCCCCCGGGGGTGGTTTTTTTTTTTTTATATAGTTTAAAAATCGTTGAAAAAAATCGACTCGGGCAGGACTTGAACCAGCATCGTCGGCGTTCCGTGCTGTTGCTCTACCAATTGAGCTACCGAGTCCTACACCTCATCGTCGAATTTTTTTCAACTTATTGATACATGCACCGCTCGCGCAGTGTAATTTCAACCTTAACACTTGCGTATTAAAGTTCCATGTCTTATGCTTTGTACCTTAAGAAAATAATTGAAGATGAAATTACAAATTTTCGTTTTTTTAATTTTTTTGGGCCCTTTTTTGCCAAAAAATTTTAAAAAATAATTTTTTTTTTTTTTTTTTTTTTTTTTTTCCCCCCCTTCTTTCCCCCCCCCCCCCCCCCCCCCCCCCCGGGGTACGTATCGTGTATCTTTACTCTTTACTACTTACTACTAATACTAGTTAGTAAAGTTTAGCTACAGAGGCGGTCGAATCACCATTAACGTTTCTCATAAATATTTCCAGGCGATACAGATTTAGACGTTACATCGCATCACTACAGTCTGAACTGAATCGTGGCCGCGGAGTCATCAAGAGCTGGCCTATCGCGCCGCGCGGTGTAGCTGTTCCGCTGCTCCAAGCAGCATACAGACGCTGGAGAGCGTACCTCGTGCTGAAGCCGATACCAAGAGATCAGTGGTTGCAGCTGAAACTCAAGATATCAGCAGCTAGTGTGCTGAAGTCGCGGCGGGGGCAGTGGGGGGCGGGGCGGCAGTGGAAGGGAGACTATTTGGCTGTTCAGACGTATAATGACAAAGCTTGTAAGTAAATGAAATAATCTACCGACTAAATTAGTTGGACCTTTTTTGAGGTCGTTGTGAAATTAGGTGAAATTTGAGGAGTTTGTTTGTTTGAACGTGCTAATCTCAGGATGTACTGGTTTGAATAGTGGTAGTTTTTTGTGCTTGTGCTAAGAAACAGTGAGGAATGTGGAAAACAGGGGAAGTTATTTATCTTTGAGTGTTTGGTTGCGTGCGTTGCGAAAACGGTTCAAGGTACCCAAAAATATGTGAAAAAAAAAATACTTTTTTTTTAATAACCAAAAAAAAGAATATTTTTCAAAATTATATCGCAAGAACCGTAATCAAATTTGGAAGTATTACTTTTTTATTTTTATTGTTGGTTGTGGAATTAATTCTTTTAACGAAACTAGTCTCGAAATATATTGTGAACCACACTTGTCCCTAGCGGTATACCGGTCTGCTTTGGCCTCCCTCCAGAAGTCGCAGAACATTGGAAAGCCACTGTTCTCGTGTCGGGTGCACAAATTCAACCGATACAACAAGCTGGCTGAGCGGTGCTTGCTCATCACCAGCTCAGCAATTTGGAAGCTGGACGCTAACAGCTTCAAGCTTCTCAAGAAACCAACGCCTATCGCTGAGGTAATCTTAAATGAAAAGGATCTATTTGCGATAAAAAACTTTTGTTACTTCTTTATTGAAAAATAAACTGTTTAAAACGCGAAATATATTAGTTAAACTTATATTAACTATGGCCCGACGTTTCGAATGTTTTGCAGCAGCCGTGTTCACGGGCAGACCTTTGTCCTTCGTGACCAAATAAGTTGGACTAATACATGGCGCGTTTAAAACCGTTAAAATGTTTTATTTAAATCGAAGGGGTTGTCAGAATAGTGCTCAAATTTCCAAGCATATTTAAGTACAGTCACTGTTTATATTGTGGTGTCTGTAGTGGAATAATATTTTACTGTTTTTTTAAGGTGGGAGCAATACGTGTGATGAGTAGTGATGTGCAACTCGTGGTGATAAGTGTGCCCTCAGCCAAGAACGATCTGGTAGTGGGGCTAGTATCCCCTCCCCCGGACCCGTCGAACGCCCACCCGGACCTCGTTGGAGAGCTCGTCGGTGTCCTCTCTAATCGGTATCACATGTAAGTATTAAAAATTGTAATATTAAACCTAATCGACCAAGCTCAAATCAGATTGCTTGAAGAAGGCTTCCGACTGTGTCTATGTACCAATTTTACTATATGGAGAAAAGAAACAAAAAATTCATTCAATTACACACTTAAATGGTTTAAACCACTATCACGCGAGATGTATTTAATTTTGAAGCGTATTTTATCAATGTATGGCTAATCATCGGGTCGTGGCTCGATATCCACTGTGTTGTTGAACCAACCACGTTTGGTGCTTTTTTCAGGTTAACAGGCTCAGACCTGCCAGTGGAAGTGGAAAGCGGTGCGACAACGCGATGCACGCTAGGTGGGAAACATCGCGCGCTACAGTTGCCTTCCCCTTCCTCCACGCCCACAGCCACGCCTGCGGCCACGCCCTTCACTCACGCGCACAATGTAATCACGTATCATCCAGCGTCTGCGCGTGCGTAACGATACAATGGAGGATTAAACTGGATTATTCCGGAAAATGTGGAAAATTTTATTAGTGGCAATTTTCTCTTTCGCATTTTTATGTTCAATAAGTTCGGCATAATATTGTAGAGATGTTGTTTTAATGACGCTAACAGCGTTGCTACGCTGACGGCGTTTTATAGTCAACACTCATGAGGTAGACTCGCAGTCTGTTCTAAAGTTACATGGCTGAGAATAACCTTCCATCAATGTCCGACACCTGATGGCTCGATAGAAACTCCTTTCATATTAATTCTACCATTATAAATCCCCCCGCTCGTGGTTAGATGCCATTTGTCTACTGTTGCTTTCAATTAACAGTCTTTTTTAAACATGTTGGATTTGGTCTGGAACTGTCACCCCCCACGGACGAAAAAGCCAAGAGGTTGTTTCCGGGGGGGGGCCCCCCAGGCCCCCCGTCCCCCCCCCCCCCCCTTCCCAAAAAACCAAACCCCCCCCCCCCTTTCGCCCCTTCCCCCCAAAAGGGGGGGGGCAAAAAAACCGGGTTTTTTTATAAATTTGTCATGGAAATACAACGTCAATAACGAAAAAGTGATTTGTATTATGTATTAAATTTAGCATTTTAGGTACTTAATGAATTTGTTAAATATAATATTGTATACTCTCGTTAAATGAAACACTTTTCAACCGTTGAAATCTCGATTATCTTGTTAAGTAGTAAACTGACGTTTCGGATGCATTACAGCCATCTAGATCATGGGAGACGAAGAAAAGTAATTGTTAACACGTTTTAAACCGTTGAAATGTGTTTTATTTTATGATATACCTTTCGCCGTAAACCTAAAGATTCGATTAAAAGCTGTAATTTTGAAGAGACGTGAGATAGATTTTTATATATAAATGTTATTCTTGTGTATGTTATCTTTCGGATATGTCTTCACTGATTTAATAACGAAATTCGTTCTTAAATTGTTTAATAAAATAACCCTGAAACACATAGTTTATATCTAAGTGCACGTCCTTTAAGAGATATGGGAACTTATTGTTTTTTAATGTAATTGCTAATCTTCAAGTTGATCCTTAAATACTGTCTATACTTTACGCGATTAGTACATTTTGCGTAAATAAAAGGCCTTATCGATTTGAAAACGCGTTATACTAGTTAAATTTATTTGAAAATTGTTCTTGCAACTTTCGGTCCGACTTTTCAGATGCTTAGAGCAGCCGTGACCACGTTGCCTTTAAATAAGTTTAACTAATATGTCGCGTTTTAAACCGTTAAAGCGTTTTATTTAAAAGTTGACCCTTGTCTTAAAATAGTTCCCACAATTACCACTAGAGGGCCCGATTGTCAATATTCAATTTGTGACCACGAATTGCTTCAAGCTATATGTAATTGTTTTAAAATGACATAAAAAGATTCAGCGTTCCATACACTGTGTGTAAGTTGGTCGTAACAGTAAATGTAATCGTCAAATTTAACTAACGTTAACAAGTTACACAGTGTAGTTAAGAGAACTCTTTCTTGTTGATAACTAACCGTACGTTTACAGTAATATATTCAAATGAATACACTTACATACAAGTTGCTGCCAGACGTTCTTTAATATAATGTCGCTTGTAAGGTTTTGAATATTTGCAAAGTTTCATTAAAAACGGCGCAGTAGTTTAAGAAAAGGGAACTCTATATTTACGCGATAGTACACATTTAAATAAAACAATTTAACCGTTCAAAACGAGATATGTTAGTTAAATTACTTTCTGCCCGTGACCACGGCTGTAAAACTATCCAAAATGTTGGGCTAAAGTTAAAAATCATTTTGAAATAATTTTAACTAATATATCGCGTTATAAACCGTTAAAGTGTTTTTTTAAAAGGAACTTGAAAGAAAGAAAATCTTGTTTGTGCCTAGGAACACGTAAAAATTCAAAATGTTTGTAACCTTTAAACAACTTTTTTAGTACAAAAGGCCTAAACTACTCAGCTGATTTTAATGAAATTTTGCAAATATGCTTTGAACCTATCTAGCGATATTCTGATAAAATAATGCCAAGCAGATATATACCATCACACTGTATTACTGTACTTTAACGGTTTAAAACGCAAATAAATTAGTTAAAACAATTTGAAATTATTTGAAACTACGGCCCGACGTTTCGGTTGTTTAGTGCAAAGTTTAATATATTTCGCGTTTTAAACCGTTAAAGTGTTTTAAATAAATCAATATAGGTTTTTGTTAATAGTGACAGAATTTCTATGTATAGTCGCACTTTAAATATTTTTTGTATAGTTATTAGAAAAAAGTGTGTAGTTATTTATTTTTAACATTAACGAAGCTAGTTATTTTTATTTTATCGATTTGTTTCTTATTTTAGTGACATAATAATTAAAAGTGATATTTTTGTAATTTATTTTAATTGTATATTATAGTTATGTGATTAATTATTTACACGACGTACACACTTACACACACACACGCATACATGATTGAGTGTGTGTATGTGAATGTGTATGCGTATTATGTGCCTTAAGTGGTGCCATCTGGTTGTAATTTATGTAATAAATGAAATTCAATGATTTTGTGGTTTTGTATTCCTCCCTTCCTTTCCATTTGTTTGAATGTAAGAATGTGTAAAGTGAAAGCCCGTTTCCCCCTCGTGGGGCATGGGGCGAACACATTTCTGTGTTCATTTCACTGATCCATTCTTTAACAGGCAAGTAGTTGATCAGACTTCTGTGCCCTGCCCGGCCACAACAATTTTGTTTTCCTGGGATTCGAACCCAGGGCCTCTCGTGCTTAACGCAATGCAATACGTTTAACCATGTGGCTACAGAGGCAAAAGAACAAGAGGGCAAAAAGTTAACTTTTATTTTTGTGGGATTCGGAAGTATTGAGTAGTTTTGCGCAAATAGTATCTACGCACAATTTCATAAAACTATATAAAGGGTTTAAAACGCGAAATATATTTGTCAATTATCTAAAATATATTTCAACTATTATTAACGTGTAAATAAGTTAACTTATATATTTCGCGTTTTGAACCTTTTACATTTTACCCTACTTCGTCTACCAAACCAATTTACCGGTCTAATAGAAGGCGACGTTGTCCGCCACAACAAAAAATATTTTTCCAATTCGACCCAGTAATTCCTGATATTAACGCGTTCAAACAAACAAACTCTTCGGCTTTATAATATTAGTATAGATTTCCTTATAATACAGAAATTTTCCGTTCAGCCTCGTTATTGCGGACCGAATATTAATGTATTTATTTTTCTAGTTTAGTGTCTCTTGGGAAACATATGTTTGTGTCTAATTATAGATCGATTAATTCTAAGTCTAATAATATTGTGCGGTCAGCAATTATCAGTATACCATGAATAATGTGTGTAGTTTATGCGAGTAGGACACATTTAAATAGAACACTAACGGTTTAAAACACGAAATATATCAGTTAAACTTACTTGCAAGTATTCCTTTATGTATACTGTGGAATCCCGTTTTCCCTCGTATAGCACCGAGTGAACACAATTCTATGTCCGTTTCACTGTCCGTATTAATTTACAGTCCTGTTCAACCAAAATAAATTTTTGTTGTCCCAGGATTCGAACTCAGGAAAACTCGCGCTTAAATAAAACATACTTAACGGTTTAAAACCTCCAAAAAGCAGGGCCGTAGTAAAACAAATACATTTTGCGTTTTAAACCGTTAAGTTGTTCAATTAAATGTGCACTGCTCGCGTAACTTAACAGTATTATATATTTTTTTTAATTTCAGACCTTTACTATACCTAGATTCTAGACCAACGAGGCGATTATAACTATTCTAATATTATAAAGAGTTTGTTTGTGTGTTTAAACGCGCTAATCCTGGAGCCTGTTGATTCTAGGAAAATAATATGTTTGTGTTAGAAGGAACAGTTATCGTGGCTCTCGGCTATGTCGCGCCCCTACCAACAGGAGCAAAGAATCTGTGACATATTTAGAAAGAAATAATCATCTTCTTAAAGAAATATATTGTGTAAGGCTGTCACGGCCATCGTTCAGCAGCGTCTTTCGGGCTGTTCGTCCGACGTGAGCGAGAAGAGGTTCGCGACGTTTCGCCATCACGTGCGAACGTGTGTGAGATGTTAACTCCTCGATTGCTCGAAGAATTAATTATCTTCTTTTTCAAATTTCTTTTTGCAAACTTCCTCTTTACATTTTATACATTTAGACTGTTACCCACGCCAGCCGCGTCCCGTCATTCTTGCAATTTCATATTTATAGACATTTTTTTAGATAATTTAAAGTGAAATATTATTCTTTCATACTTATTTTTTGGGTACCTTGATCCATTTTCGCACCGGAAACCCACAAAGATATAAGAATAATTTTCCCCGTTTTTCCCACATTTCCCGCTGTTAATTCACTCTTATTAGCTCAGCACGATGTTTTATAGCCTATACCGTTCCTCGACAAATTCTCTGACCAATTCAAAAATATTTTCATTTCGAAACAGTAGTTTCTCTGATTAGCGCGTTCAAACAAACAAACAAACTCTTCAGCTTTATTTATTAGTGTAGATAAATCTTGCAATAAATACATTCATTTCTTAGTATCTAGGTCAGACAACATTTGAGGCCACTAGAGGCAGAGTAGCCTAACTGCAATTTTATGATTTCACCTATTTAGGTATATTTTCATAGTCTGAAAGAGTTAATCTACAAGAGCACAGTGACCGAAAATTGTTAACATAATTCTTGCACAAATAATAGGACAACGTCGTCGAATGTTTTTTGTTATTAGGCCACTCTGTCTCTAGCAGCCTTATATTAAATTGAAATAATCAATCTACATATACGGCTTTCTCGTACCATCTAGAACGATTCTCAGAAAACGTACCTGTTTCGTCCGACCTTGGCCAAAGTTTCCGTCTGTCAAACAAGCAGATTTGTGGCTGCACCTACATTTTCTAATTACACCGAACAATGTTATTAATTAAGTCTTATTGAAGGTCTCTATAAACCACAGGGCA